TAAATTAGGAACGGCTAGCGCAGATAGCCCTCGTGTAGCTTTGCGCGAAATTCAAAAAAACAAACAGACAATTATAGCGTTGTTTCTTAAAAATTATAAAGCACAATCGCTTCGAAAATTAATGGTAGTTCAAATTCAGCTGAAATCTATGCCTTGTTTAAAATTTAGTTTTCTATGGATTTTTATGTCGTAACTGGAAAATGAATGTTGGAATTGGAATTTCTATATATATATTTGATCGATTATAAAACTAAAATTTATTTATTTGATTTATGCCTTTTTATTGTAACCTATGTTATGAGTATAACTTTCCCACTTCTAATTAATTGTTGTATTTATTATATTCCTAAGGTATTTTTGCCTGCAAAATATTTAGTTTCTTATTTTCTCTTACAGATCTGATCACATTTGGAAGCGACATCTGGTGGTAACGGAGATGCCTTATTAATCGTCAGTCCTTAGTTACTGCTACATTGCTGGTGATTCAGTGTTCTTGGTCAACAATTATAACTAAATTATCTTCTGATTGAAACATGACGTTAGCGTGGAGTCAGCTGCTTCAGTGCTTGTGATTCAGTGCTCTTTTTCAACCATTACAGTTAAACTATCTTCCGATTGCAACATGACGTCAGCATGGAGTCAGCTGGAACAATTACTGACTTGTGCGATATGCTTAGATCGGTACAGGAACCCTAAACTTCTACCCTGTCAACATACCTTCTGTCTGGAGCCTTGCTTGGAAGGATTAATAGATTATATTCGCAGACAGGTAAAATGCCCAGAATGTCGGGCAGAGCACAGGATTCCTTATCAAGGTGTCGAAGCTTTTCCCACTAACGTGACGTTAACGCGGTTTTTAGACTTACACCGAGATGTCACTGGAGAAGAACCAGAGCCCTTACCGTCCATGATGGAAAGATGCGCTGTATGTAACGACAAAGCTCACGTCAAAAAATGTGGACACTGTAACAAGAAAGTATGTGATGAGTGCAAAGAAGCACATCTTGATATTCTTCGGCGGGAAATTCTACGCGTTAATAATCAAGTTAAAAGAAGTCTTCAGAAAGTTAGCGATACTCTCACGCAAACTCAGAGTAATAGATCAAGATTGCAGGAGAACGCGGATCGTGTTAAAGAAGAGATTGAGGAGATGGTACGTCGTTACAATGAAGATCTGAAACACACAGAAAAAAGGCTGAAAGAAGAAATTGATATTTATGTCCAAAAAGAGCTTCGACAGATGAATGGTATGAAGGACAATCTTGAAATGGAACTTACTAACTTAACTGGAAATTGTGAGCTATTGGAGAAACATATGAATGAAAATATAGACTGGACTGACAGTGAACTTTTACAATATAAAGAAGTTATTTTCAAAATGTTAGACTTTGTTAGACATTTCGACACAGGCATTTCGGACTTTACTCGCCGAATAACGTTTCAACCAAGAACTAATCCAGATGTACTGCATAGAGTTTTGGAAGAATTTGGGGATTTAAAGGTCAATGCACCTACGCCTCCACCTACTGGTAATTTGTCTCCCTCACCTTCTAATTCATTGCTTCGAAGTCAGAGTGATCACTGGTTGAGCACCCACTTTCAGCGTCGACAGGACAACCGCTCTACTTCTGACTTTAGTCAACATGGAATAATCAGTGACTCGGAAAGGGATGGAAGACACGGAGAGGTCGGTTTACAAAGTCGTTCTCGGCGGGAGTGTAGGGATAACAGCCCATATCGTCGTTTTGGAGACAGATCTTCGCGAGAATACGAAACGCCAGACAGAGAGCGGCGACTCTTGAAACCTGAGAACGATATCCGAGACGTGAAGAGCTGGAGAGATTGTGATGGAACTATCGGGACTTATAGATCGAGGTATATGAGGGGTAGTTACGAGAACTTAAGACAAGATAGAGAATCAAGTCAAGGAAGGAGTGTTAGATTTCACGATACTGATGTTCAGTGTAATGAATCCGTTTTTGATACAAATGGATTGAGAGGTCCTTTAAGTGGAGTTCCGAGGCTTAAGGATTCTGCCTATATAATGGAGAGACTACATCAAAATGAGGTTCGACAGAAGAAGCAGATTCAGGAAGAAGAACATCAACGCTTAGAAAATCCTGTACCTTCCTCAAAAATTAATTCTGTTCCTTCTAGACCAACTGCACGTCAAATAAGCGAGGACGATGTTGAAAAACAGAAGAAACAGAGCCAACTTTCGGCTACAATGACCGAAACTAGAGAAAAAATGGCCACAACCAGTACTTCTTCTGCAGCAACTGTTCCTTCTGAATTGCCATCTCGAGTTTTATCGAAAAGAGCTGAAGAGTCTTCTGTTAGTGCAGCGAATGAATCTTCCGAAACACGGCAACACGAAATTCTAGCTACAGAATTAACAACATCCAGTTCGGGAGGAAGCACTGGGTCTTCTTCAGCCACCACGTCTACACCTGATGAACAAGGTAGCAGATCTTACAAACCAATTACCTCTGGTGACGCCGAAGGGACAACCTCTACAGAAACATCCTCGGGTTCAAGATTTTCTCGTGAACAAAATCCTCGAGGTTTAACCCCCAGGCAAGTAGATACAAATGATTTGAATGTAAGATATGATCAGACATCTAAAGTTCTTTCTAGAATTCCCGAAGGAGTGGATACCAACGCGACTACACGAGTTAGAGCCAGCTGTGTTACTAAAGAACCAGAAAAAGCTGAAGGCAGTTCGCCGACATCTGACTCCCTTCGTCGTCCATACAGGCGTACCAGGAGTGATTTTAGTTATAATAGGTACTCAAGCTATCCTAGCTCACACGGAGAAAGCGGGACTCCTACACTAAGTGTGCGTTCTGATCACAGCAAACCTCGCAGTGCCCTAAGGACAGACAGCACTCCGAGCCCCAGCCGACAGTTACGTCTTGACGACATTGTGGGACAGATTCGGCCGAACTACTTTCGATATCGTACATCCAGAAAAAGCAGCGATGCCACGGATAGTTCCCTCACGCAGAATTCTTCTAATTCTCAAGAAGGCAACAGTCAAAATCCTTCCTTGCGAAGCTCGTCATCTCTATATAATAACGCTTCATCGAGCACCCGTGACACAAGTATTGGTCGTCAATTGTAGTTAGAAAACACGTTAACCCTTAATCCATGGTAGTAATATAAATATATTATCACTAAGGGTTAGAAATTTAAGTAAAATTCATCAAAGCTTTTTTTTCCTTTTTCAGGTCTGATTGGACGCTACAGAAGAAGACTTTACCAGTAGATGTAGAGGAGCGATCTGGTAACTACAAAATTGGTAATTTTAACAACTCACAAAAACCGTATGGACGAACGCCATCTTTGGACAAGAAGGATGGGGACCAGAAAAACCTTCCTAAGTTTTCATTTACTAGACGTCAAATGGTGCAGTGTTCAGATTCTGAAAGTGACAGCGAAAGTGAAGTTAACAGCACAGAAACAGATAGTGACGACTCGAGTGTTAGTAATCTTACTTCAGGTACAAGCTCTTCAGTTCGAGACCTCTTACTGCGAAGCGCACAAGCCCGTCGAAAAAGTGCAAGAACAGATTCTCCTGAAAAGGCGGATAGTACTAGGAAGACCTCAAATCCTAGATCCTCTCAAACACAGAAAGATAGGTATGGAAAAAGACATATTCCTACAAGTTCGAAACGAAAGGTGTTAATAAATGACGACGTAAATGACGAGCAGAGCGATTCATCTAGAGATCGTTACTTGACACGGAGTCGAAGTTCAGTTATTCTAAATCGACAGCAGAAAGATCTGACCGATTCTCTGGCCAACCCTTCTGGTAGCACACAATTTCAAACAAAATCTGGCATTTCCAGTCAACCAGATAAAGCAGTATCACGCAGCAAGAGCTCTCGCGATCTTGTTCTGAACGATGAGAATACTGAGACACGTCCTCCAACATATCGGAGATTTATCGAAGAAAAACGGCAGGCTCTGCGTGAAAACGCAGTGGAGACCAATGCGGATAGGGGATTGACGTCTAGGTCTGAATACGTTAGAAATAAGTATGGGAAAACGCCAGCCGAAAAATGTGATGACACCAATATTTCAGTAGATCAGACATATATTAGACGAAGTAATGTTGAAAGTAATATTAACCAAGATCCTTCATCCTCTTGTACACCTTATGCCGATAAAACCCCACAGATCCGCCAACCGATAATTAAAATAGGAAGTCGAGGTAGTGAACCATATTGTTTTAATTGGCCTAGGGATGTGGCAGTAAGTCCACAAAACCTTATTGCTGTGGCAGATAGCAGTAACCACAGAGTTCAGGTAGGTGTTTGTCTTTAATTCATGTCTAACTTAAACTAACTTACTGAACGGTTTCAACTCTTGCTTATAAGCAACCTCTTAGTTAAGAAATATCCCACGTGGTCGGACTACACAGTTAAGGTTTCAGTTTGTTATCAGAGATGGGTTAGATTGGACAACGTGTGTGTGTGTGTGTTTGTTCTTTGCTGAACCCTTATGTAACGATATGTGTTGGACTTCTTCTCACCCACGGATGTAGGAGGGGGGGGGGGGTCATCATGATCCAGATCCCCTCACCTCAGACAAAAAATTGGGTTTTTATTGGTAAATAATTAAATACAACCCATTTTACTGAAATTATTCACGAACACTTGTTATATATTCTCGGTTTTTTCCACGCAATTCCAATAATTTCGGTTACAATTTGACATTGTTGTTCACCTATTTCTATACGACTGTAAAGTCGTCTAACTAAAATCAGGGAGACAAAATGGATGCAATGCAGCAAACATGATTAGCTTATTTTAAACAATTTTATTATTAACCTATAGCTACTTTAAGATTGAAAGCAAAAGGTCAAAATATGATGTTACGTATTACAATTTCAAATAGCCTGAAATGGAGTTAAATAAATTCCGATATATATCCAATTTATGATATTTGCCAACAAGATTGATACACACAGTTTCTTTGTTAATACAAATATATTTTAATATACAAACAATAATAATATTTACAATAACGGTTATTACAAATAGTTATTACAAGCAATGATTTATATACAAAAGTTTTACAAGCTTACAAACAATATAAAGTCTTCTTTCTTGTCTGGAATTTCCTTGATGTCTTATCAAGGGTTCACGAAGGATAGTCTTAGTTATTTACGTTTTAAGCACTTTTTTTCTCTCTCTCTCTTACAGAAGTCAGATATTGAGCCAGTATTTATATTTGTTTGTTTATTCGGTGTGATTTATCGTAAATTTAACCTCCTTTTTATAGAAGTGTATTATATGATGACAACAAACTCTTATTATTGGACCAATACATTTTGGTTTATACCGACATTTTCATGTGAATTAGCAAACTAAGTGATTTTGCCTTCACATTATCATTACCGATGCTATTTCAGCTATAATCTAGTACTTTAGTTAGTCCATTTAAAAGTGTGTGTGTGTGGAAAAAGGGGGACATAAAACACGTCTCTCTGTCTTCCACGTGCATACCTGCCAATTGTAGCCCTTTGTTTTATATCAACTATTTTGTTGCCCCGATTTTGAATGCCGCATTAACATGAATTATTTTCAAAAGGCATAATCAAATTTTCAAAGACCTCCGAAATATGAAAATCATATTTCAGAGCATTTAGACTTACATTTTTGTTCGAGGGAGCGCTGCCCCCTGGATACCCTAGAATGATTGGGCCATGCGCAGTCCTCACCCATTGATCTCTTTCAAAATTCTGAATCGGCTCTCCTTCTTTGTTTTTAAAATTGTTACATTTTAAGTCATATTGATTACAGAATCTTTCGACGACAACTACAGAGGGAACATTCAACCTACTGACAGTTAGAACGCATCCGTGATTTATTCATGTTTCAAGAATGTAAAACAGCTTACTTTATCAATAAACCAAGTAAATTTATTTTTATAAAATACAATTTTCTTTCCATAATTACTTTTTTTCCCTCTAGGTGTTCAATAGCACAGGAAAGTTTCTTCATCAGTTTGGAACGTACGGAGATTCTGAAGGAGAGTTTAACAGTCCAGCAGGAATAGCCATTAATCGAATAGGACAGTACCTCGTAAGTGATCGCTATAACCACAGGGTCCAAGTCTTCGATCCTAATGGCAGATTCCTGCGATCCTTTGGAACAGAAGGAAATTTGAACAGCATGTTCAACTATCCATGGGGAATCACAACAGATTGTTTGGGTTTCATCTATGTTTGTGACAAGGAAAACCATCGCATTCAGGTAGCCGTAAATAATACGCTGCCTTTAATACGTTGTTAACGTTGTTTAATACGTTGTTCTTTGATAAGAAAAACTATGAGGTTTAGGCAGTTGTAAATAACACACAGTCCTTATGTGATAAAGGAACTGTGAAATTTAGGTTGTCGTAAATAACACACTGTCATTATGTGATAAAGGAACTGTGAAATTTAGGTGGTCTTAAATAACACACTGTCTTTATGTGATAAAGGAACTGTGAAATTTAGGTTGTCGTAAATAACACACTGTCTTTATGTGATAAAGGAACTGTGAAATTTAGGTGGTCTTAAATTACACACTGTCTTTATGTGATAAAGGAACTGTGAAATTTAGGTGGTCTTAAATAACACACTGTCATTACGTGATAAAGGAACTGTGAAATTTAGGTGGTCTTAAATAACACACTGTCATTATGTGATAAAGGAACTGTGAAATTTAGGTGGTCTTAAATAACACACTGTCATTATGTGATAACGGAACCGTGAAATTTAGTTGGTCGTAAATTACACACTGTCATTATGTGATAACGGAACCGTGAAATTTAGGTGGTCTTAAATAACACACTGTCTTTATGTGATAAAGGAACCGTGAAATTTAGGTGGTCTTAAATAACACACTGTTTTAAATATGTCCCTACATGTTGAATGTTGATCTCCTGATGTTATTATATCTTCAGCCGTGATTTAAATGTAGGGATGAGACTTCTATGATATAAAACTAGTCATTCAATCATTTAGATAATTAAACAGCTTCTAAAGTTATTCTGATATTAACATTTTGTTAACAAACTAAAGCATATATATTTAAAATAGAAAATAAACACGTTATTTAAATCACGCTATGGAGATTTACCATTCATATTTCACAGAACTGGCTACTGTTATTAGCCAGTGTTCCTGTTTTATGGTTGTTGTAGTATAGTATGTATTATAGTATACATACCACATGACTGGCTACTGCATGTTGAATTATCGTGTTTTTTGCTTTATGACTGTTTGTATATGTTTTTGTTGTTGTTGTTTACACACCTTAGGACTGGCTACTACTTGTCGAATTCTAGTGTTTCTGCTTTACGACTGTTTATTTTATTGTTTACACACCGCAGGACTGGCTACTATTTGTCGAATTCCAGTGTTTCTGCGTTACGACTGTTTATTTTATATTTTACACACCACAGGACTGGCTACTATTTGTCGAATTCCGGTGTTTCTGCGTTACGACCGTTTATTTTATATTTTACACACCACAGGACTGGCTACTGCTTGTCGAATTCCAGTGTTTCTGCGTTACGACCGTTTATTTTATATTTCACACACCACAGGACTGGGTACTGCTTGTTGAATTCCGGTGTTTCTGCGTTACGACTGTTTTTTATTGTTTACACAACACTGAAGTTACTATTGTTGAATATCAGCATTTCTGTCGTACTGCTCTTTTTAATGCCACTGAACTTGCTTTTATTGTTGAATTTCAGTGCTTTTGCCAACATAAAGTGTGCTTGCATAGAAATAATTAACGTTGTTGAGTTATATTTCTACTATGGTTTATATTGTAAATCTTTAATGAACCAGTTGTTATATCAGATACTTAACTATTTGTTTGTTGTTGTTTTTTCAGGTTTTTCAAGCAGATGGTACATTTGTTACAAAGTTTGGAACGCTTGGAGACAGTGCTGGCGAAATGGAGTGCCCTCACTACGTCACTGTTAAAGGTTCAGAACAGGTGATTGTTAGTGACTGCAATAACCACCGCATTCAGATATTCGACACCAGAGGGAGACTTATCACGAACTTCGGTAACGAGGGTTCAGCTCTGGGTAAGTTTCAATTCCCTCGTGGTGTCGCTGTGAACGAACAGGGCCACATTTTTGTAGCAGACAGTGGCAACAATAGAATCCAAACATTCCTGCCTGATGGCAGCTTCCTATCAGCCTTTGGGTCATGGGGAACTGGTGAAGGGGAGTTTAAGGGGATCGAAGGAATAGCAGTTATGGCCAATGACAGCCTTTTGGTGTGTGATAGAGAAAATCACCGGCTTCAGGTTTTTTGATGTGAGTATTTTTAGGACACTTACACCTTATTATAAATCATCAATTATTGTTTACAATTTTGATTATTTCTTAGCTTTTAATTCACATAATAGTAGTTTTTTTATTTGAGTATTAACGAATGAAATTTGCGATTATTTACAGTGTTTTTTTAAATAATTATTTATGTATCGAAAAGCTTGTGTTTGTTTTGTTTTTTTCCCTAGGAATTACAGGATTGAAGTAACAGAATATTGATAATTATCAATA